ACCGTCACTACAACGCTCACAACAACACCGTCACACAACACCGTCACTACAACACCGTCACTACAACCCGTCACAACACCGTCACTACAACCAACACCGTCACTACAACACCGTCACAAAACGTCACTACAACACCGTCACTACAACACCGTCACAACAACACCGTCACTACAACACCGTCACTACAACACCGTCACTACAACACCGTCACAACAACACCGTCACTACAACACCGTCACTTCACCAACACAGCAGCAGCAGCTCCTCTACAACTTGTGTAGAGTTAAGAGCAACGAAAAAATTTCTATTAACAAACGCACATAAATCGGTTCATTTGCATCTATATGTGGAAATACCAGTGGCGGAAGGGCCTAAGCCCGGGCTCTGGGCTGGGGTAATAAGTAGCCCTTACGGAGAAAGGTGGGAGAGGCGGTAGTGGCAGTGGCAGGAGAGGGGGGCGGCGGCCCCTGCTGCAGGCTAGAAGAGACGCTTGCATAGGTAATGCCAAGAGAGAGCATAATGTCGCTAGACTAAATGAAAATCTATGTAGTTTAATTTAGCCGTTGCGAACTAAGTTGTGCCCTGGGGAGGGATAAGTTTGCTGGCGGATTTCCTAGCTAGGAGGCCAGACAACCACCCACCAAACACCTCTCTTTCCGCCTTGAGCCACGCCGACACAAGGGCCAAACTGGCGGCCGCATTTTTCCTCGGAGGTAGGCCCGTCTTGCACCCAGGGTTCGGAATGCTATTATGAAAGCGATGGAGCTGAAATTGAAGGATACCTGTCTGTCTTGTTCAATTTTGTCCATCAGGAGAGAGTGGTGGAGTTGGTACAACCCAGAGTGTGATGGTGAGTTGGTACAACCCAGTGTGTGATGGTGGAGTTGGTACAACCCAGTGTGTGATGGTGGAATTGGTACAACCCAGTGTGTGATGGTGGAATTGGTACAACCCAGTGTGTGATGGTGGAATTGGTACAACCCAGTGTGTGATGGTGGAGTTGGTACAACCCAGTGTGTGATGGTGGAATTGGTACAACCCAGTGTGTGATGGTGGAATTGGTACAACCCAGTGTGTGATGGTGGAGTTGGTACAACCCAGTGTGTGATGGAGTTGGTACAACCCAGTGTGTGATGGTGGAGTTGGTACAACCCAGTGTGTGATGGTGGAGTTGGTACAACCCAGTGTGTGATGGTGGAGTTGGTACAACCCAGTGTGTGATGGTGGAGTTGGTACAACCCAGTGTGTGATGGTGGAGTTGGTACAACCCAGTGTGTGATGGTGGAGTTGGTACAACCCAGTGTGTGATGGTGGAGTTGGTACAACCCAGTGTGTGATGGTGGAGTTGGTACAACCCAGTGTGTGTGGATTGGTAGGAGTTGGTACAACCCAGTGTGTGATGGTGGAGTTGGTACAACATGTGGTGGGTGTACACCAGTGTGTGATGGTGGAGTTGGTACAACCCAGTGTGTGATGGTGGAGTTGGTACAACCCAGTGTGTGTGGAGTTGGTACAACCCAGTGTGTGATGGTGGAGTTGGTACAACCCAGTGTGTGATGGTGGAGTTGGTACAACCCAGTGTGTGTGGGTTGTACAACCCAGTGTTGATGTGGAGTTGGTACAACCCAGTGTGGTGGTGGAGTTGGTACAACCCAGTTGTGATGTGGAGTTGGTACAACCCAGTGTGTGATTGTGGAGTTGGTACAACCCAGTGTGTGTGGAATTGGTACAACCCAGTGTGTGTGGAGTTGGTACAACCCAGTGTGTGTGGAGTTGGTACAACCCAGTGTGTGTGGAGTTGGTACAACCCAGTGTGTGATGGAGTTGGTACAACCCAGTGTGTGGTGGTGGAGTTGGAACAACCCAGTGTGTGATGGTGTTAGAACAACCCACTGTGTGATGGAGTTGGAACAACCTAGTGTGTGATGGTGGAGTTGGAACAACCCAATGTGTGATGAAGTTGGAACAGCCCACTGTGTGATGTTGGAACAACCCAGTGTGATGGTGTTGGAACAGCCCAGTATGTGTGTAATGGGACTGGAACAATCCATTGTGTGTGATGGGGCTGGAACAGTCCATTGTGTGTGTGATGGGGCTGGAACAGTCCATTGTGTATGTGATGGGGCTGGAACAGTCCATGGGATGGTGAACGTCCATGTGTGTGATGGGGCTGGAACAGTCCATTGTGTGTGTGATGGGGCTGGAACAGTCCATTGTGTGTGTGATGGGGCTGGAACAGTCCATTGTGTATGTGATGGGTCTGGAACAGTCCATTGTGTGTGATGGTTGACATCAGTGTAGTATGGTGGGGCTAGAACAGCCCAGTGTGTGATGGGTCTGACAGCTGATATACGCGCACGCGCGCACACACACACACACACACACACACACACACACACACACACACACACACACACACACACACACACACACACACACACACACCTACACCTACACCTACACGCAAAAAAAACACAGGCAAAGTGCCTTTGGCAACTAGTAACTACTACTACTACTTCTACTACTACTACTACTACTACACACGCACACGCGCGCATCCAGAAAAAAAAACTATACGCCCACATGCACTCACCCACATACACATGCCTACATAACCACACCCACATATACACGCCCACTCACACAACCAAAACACAAGCCACACGTCCACTCACCTTCCGCCTGTCTACCCACCCTTCCCAACACTCACAGCGGCACACACACCTGTCTACTCTCTTTCCTCCAATCAATCCAACATATATATATATATATATATATATATATATATATATATATATATATATATATATATATATATATATATATATATATATACGTATGTATATATGTTATTACTTGGTCTGTTGTGTTGCTGGTTGTCAAACGCATTTTCGATAGTATGTGTCTGTATTCACGTATTTGTACTCGCCTATATGTGGTTGCAGGGGTCGATTCACCGCTCCTGGTCTCGCCTCTTCGCTGTCGCTATGTGTGTGTGTGTGTGTGTGTGTGTGTGTGTGTGTGTGTGTGTGTGTTTAAGCAGACATGTAATACGAACATTTTAAAAAGGATCGGCTGTTGTATAACAGATACCGTAAAAAATGACCGATACTCCGGTATTGGTCGTGTTTTTTGGTATCGGTATCATATATAAACACCAGTTTGCAATTGTCGAAATCAGTATCGTAGTGATAGTACCACAGCAGTGATAGTACCACAGCAGTGATAGTACCACAGCAGTGATAGTACCACAGCAGTGATAGTACCACAGCAGTGATAGTACCACAGCAGTGATAGTACCGTAACAGTGATAGTATCACAGCAGTGATTGTACCACAGCAGTGATTGTACCACATCAGTGATAGTACCACAACAGTGATAGTTCCAGAGCAATGATAGTACCACAGCAGTGATAGTACCACAACAGTGATAGTACCACAACAGTGATAGTACCACAACAGTGATAGTACCACATCAGTGATAATACCACAACAGTGATAGTACCACAACAGTGATTGTACCACAGCAGTGATTGTACCACAGCAGTGATTGTACCACATCAGTGATAGTACCACAACAGTGATAGTACCACAACAATGATAGTACCACAACAGTGATAGTACCACAGCGGTAATCGTACCACAACATTGATAGTATCACAACATTGATAGTACCACAACAGTGATAGTATCACAACAATGATAGTACCACAGCAGTGATAGTATCACAACAGTGATCGTACCACAAGTGTTAGTACCACAGCAGTGATAGTACCACAATAGTGATAGTACCACAACAGAGTACCACAGAAGTGATAGTACCACAGCAGTGATAGTATCACAACAGTGATAGTACCACAACGGTGATAGTACCACAGCGGTGATAGTACCACAGCGGTGATAGTATCACAACAGTGATAGTACCACAACAGTGATAGCACCACAACAATGATAGTACCACAACCGTGTTAGTACCGCAGCAGTGATAGTACCACAATAGTGATAGTACCACAACAGAGTACCACATAAATGATAGTACCACAACAGTGATAGTACCACAGCGGTGATAGTACCACATCAGTGATAGTACATCAGTGATAGTACCACAACAGTGATAGTACTACAAGAGAGATAGTACCACAGCAGTGATCGTATCACACCAGTGATAGTACCACAACAGTGATAGTACCACAACAGTGTTAGTACCACAGCAGTGATAGTACCACAACACCGAAGGCGAGAAGTGATAGTACCACAATAGTGATAGTACCACAAGAGATAGTACCATAATAGCGATAGTACCACAACAGTGATAGTAGCACAGTAGTGATAGTACCACAACAGTGATAGTACCACAGCAGTGATAGTACCACAGCGGTGATAGTACCACAGCAGTGATAGTATCACATCAGTAACCTGTGACGTCTCTCCTGCGTTCACTCACGTCCTTGCTAAAACATTCTCTGGTATTCTCTGTAATGGACTGATAAAAGCCGCTGGTTAGCGAAACGCCTCCGTAATAGACATCCAAATATTGCTCATGTCTCCTTATCATCCCTCATAGACATGTGCCTTTTCCTCCCACTTGTCTGGACGTTTCTTGCAGAACAACACTCACCTTGGTCACCCTTGTCATGTGACGTTGTTCTTAGTAATACCTTTTTAAGTATTGTTAATGTGAGACATGTGCAATACCTAAGTATCTTTATTGACACGTGTGCAACATCTGGGTGCCTTTATTGACACATGGGGAACACCTGTGTATCTTTGACATATGTGCAACACCTGGGTATCTTTATTGACACATGTGCAATACCTGGGTATCTTTAAAGTGAGATGTACAATACCTGGCTATCGTTAATATAAGATGTACAGTACCTGGGTATCTTTATTAACACGTGTACAACACTTGGGTACCCTTAGTAAGACACATGTGCAACACCTGGGTATCTTTATTATAGATTCTACGGTAGCTTCTGACCTATCGTTGTTTCCTTGCAGCCGCCCTACGGTAGCTTCGGGAGCGAGGAGACCTACGGAGACCTTCAGGGTCTGGCCTCCACACTGCCCCAGCAGGAACCAGACACTACCTCGGCCGCCCACACCCACGCCCACCACTCCCAGAGCTTGTATCAACACCCGGTGAGTCTTTACGTGTTATTTAAACCCGTGACGAAGGATATATATTATTTGTGTCAAGACTGTCTCTGTTTCTTTGATAAATTCCATATTATTTCGCCTATTTCTGAATTTGTATATATATAATGTCGTACCGAATAGGTAAAACTTGCTATTTTGGCTTTAAAACCAACGCTCTTCTTGCCGAATAAGGCAAGAAAAAATTTGTGTATGCAATAATTTCGCAAAAATCATTCTGAACCTAACGAGAAACATATATTTCATTGTGTTTGTTTATTAAATTATTGTAAACTTATCTTAAATATATTTAGCTGTATTAGGCTAAATTAAATTGCGCTTGTTATAATAGGGTTAGGCTATTTTGGTGTAAAATCATTAATTTTTATATTAACATAAATTAAAAAAAATATTTAAGTGTATAAGAATTTTTTTTAAAAAGGACTTAGTTTTAAATGAGTTCTTGCTAATTGACCAATTTTACCTATTCGGCACGACATACATATAGGAAGTTGAGTGCCGTTGTTTGTGGAGGCGTCGTACGAGGGCAGGTAGGTAAGACACATGGGCAACAGTTAGGCATCTTTATTCCGAAACGTTTCGCCTACACAGTAGGCTTCTTTAGTCGAGTACAGAAAGTAGGCAGGAGCAGTAGAGATGTGAAGACGATGTAATCAGTCCATCACCCTTAAAATTTCGAAATAAAGTTGCCTAACTGTTGCCCATGTGTCTTGCCTACCAACCTGTTGGTAAATAGAAAGGGCACAATACCGTGACTGGAACAATACACAAATAACCCGCACATATAAGAGTCACACTGATGTGACTTTGTAAATGGTCAAAGTCAGACCAAAACGTCGTCGTAAGCTCCTCTCTTCTATGTGCGGGTTATTTATGTAACCTGTCGGTAATGTATACCATTTTGATATTCGTACGAGGGAAGAGAGAGCCAAGAGTCGCTGAGTGTCAGCTGCCTGTCCATGCAGTGCCAGATACCAAAGGTTCCAGGAACCAGCAGAAATAATCGGCCCAGCCCATAAGCGTTGAATGGTAATAAACCGGAGAATATATCGCTAATGACATGTCAAGAATCAAGAACGAGCCAGTAAACTTCCATACATTTTGTCATAAAGGAACAAAAAGCTTCTCTTACTCGTGTTTGTGGCCTTGTTTTTCCTAACTTCTAGAAATTTCCTCACAAATTAGACTCAATAAATCAATCACACTTAACAATTTTCTTTTAACTTTTTTTTTCTAGATCCAAAAAGTTTCATAATCGATAAAAAGTATGTTTTATGGATTTTTTTTTTATTTAAGGAATAAGTTATTCATTGTTATGGAACCTTTCATGGTTATTGAAATTTCTCCTCGTTATTAAATACACATTACTTATGTGGCAACGAAATATTTACCAGTTTTTCGGTTTAACATCAATCAGTAAAGTTCCCATGGTATTAACAAATATAATAGTTACCTATACATTACAGAGAGAATGGGTATTAAAGAAAATGTTAATTGGATAGACTCGTGAAAAAATATATTGAGCCCTACCTCATCACGTTAAAATAACCCTGGAGGGTTAGCCACCCAGGATAACCATCCGGGGGTGTGTCAGTGAGGGGCTGTGTCTTATTTCCATTGGGGTCATCAATCTTGTCCCTCAGGATGCGACCCACACCAGTCGACTAACACCCAGGTACCTACTTGCTAGGTTAACAGGGCAACAGGTGTAAGGAAATGCTTCTAGTGTTTCCACCCTTGTCGGGAATCGAACCCGGAACCTCAGCGTGCGAAACGAGAGCTTTGCCACCCAGTCTTATATATAATTACGGCTTTTTTTCTTCACCAAACATGCTTACAATAGCTATAGGGCATAGAATAGCGTAAGGAATTAAGAAATTAAGGTCGAGGTGCTGTGAGAACCAGCATAACACGGGGGGGGGGGGAGAGGACCCTCCCACAATTTAACTACCATCCATAAACTAGGAAACAGTACTCACACAAGCCGATGAAAAATTAGACATGTGCAACATCTGGGTATCTTATTGTAGACGTTTCGCCATCCAGTGACTTAATAACAATTCAAGAAGATAATGGAAGACAGTAGAACTATGTACAGGAGACTATACACAAATAACTCACACATAGGAGAGAGGAGCTGACCACGACGTTTCAGTCGTCGTAATAAAAATTAATATTACTATTAAAGTGACTGTAAATGGGCCAAGTTGGACCGAAACGTCGTCGTAAGTTCCTCTCTCCTATGTGCGAGTTATTTGTATATTGTTCCAGTCAGGGTATTGTGGCTTTTTTTTTTTTTTATTTACAAAAGACTAGGTCGGTCTTCACCAAGGCTGAGGGACTCATTAAATCAATTTTGTATATAGTTCTACTGTCTTCTAATTATGTCCTTGAATCTGTGTTGATGAATCCACTGAATGGCGAAACGTCTACAATAAAACTACGCAGATGTTGCACATGTGTCTTATCATCTTGTGGATTCTGTTTACCATACATGTACCACCCATACAACGGTCTAATGCAAAGGGTTAACAGGTCTAACACAGCGACATATTCTCCTGTTTAAAACCAAATATTCAGAGCTTGTGGGCTAGGCTGTCTGTTTCTGCTGGCTCTTAAAGTACTTCTTGGAACCTTTGGTATTTGACAATGGATGGTCAGGTATTTGAGAGTCAGGTCAGTGGTCCTTAAGATGTCTCCATAGACACTTTCCTGGGCCGATCTCTGTTCCTTTCCACTATCGCAAGCTCTTGAAAAAGTGTTGGCTGCGAGAGGAAAGTCATATAGATGTCATTCAACTTCCCTCTGTTATCGCTCGTTTGCGATTTATATATATATATATTATATATATATATATATATATATATATATATATATATATATATATATATATATATTATATAATATGAGAAGTTGTCTCAGAGGATATTAACGGGAGTTACTCACGGTATTATCCTCTGATAAAACTTCCCTTCATTTCTCCTGTTGCTACCCTTGCAGCACTGCACAGCTCCTGATGACGCACTGAGAAATCTGAAAGCACTTGAGCAAAAGATTTCCAACCCCCCTCCCCCCCGGGTGGCTTGTCTTGCATTGTTAAGATCGCCGCCTGTCTACGATTGTTTGCATAACTACCTAAATTACATTTCCATTGCGAAATATTTGTTTATAAATAGAGAGAGAGAGAGAGAGGGAGAGAGAACGAGAACGTAGAAGATATCACTGGCGATGATGATTCCCAGTGTTATTAAAAATGCTGCAAGTGACAGAAGGAAAATGTTTTCTAACTTGGAGAAAACTGAGAGATGAGCAACTAAGTTCTCAAGTTGGACCAGGGGGTTCTCAAGCTGGACAAGGGGGTTCTCAGGCTGGACCAGGGGGTTCTCAAGTTGGACCAGGGGGTTCTCAGGCTGGACCAGGGGGTTCTCAGGCTGGACCAGGGGGTTCTCAGGCTGGACCCAGGGGGTTCTCAAGCTGGACCAGGGGGGTTCTCAGGCTGGACCAGGGGGTTCTCAAGCTGGACCAGGGGGTTCTCAGGCTGGACAGGGGGTTCTCAGGCTGGACCAGGGGGTTCTCAAGCTGGACCAGGGGGTTCTCAGGCTGGACCAGGGGTTCTCAGGCTGGACCAGGGGGTTCTCAGGCTGGACCAGGGGGTTCTCAGGCTGGACCAGGGGGTTCTCAAGCTGGACCAGGGGGTTCTCAGGCTGGACCAGGGGGTTCTCAGGCTGGACCAGGGGGTTCTCAAGCTGGACCAGGGGGTTCTCAGGCTGGACCAGGGGGTTCTCAAGCTGGACCAGGGGGTTCTCAGGCTGGACCAGGGGGTTCTCAGGCTGGACCAGGGGGTTCTCAGGCTGGACCAGGGGGTTCTCAGGCTGGATCAGGGGGTTCTCAAGCTGGACCAGGGGGTTCTCAGGCTGGACCAGGGGGTTCTCAATCTGGACCAGGGGGTTCTCAAGTTGAACCAGGGGGTTCTCAGGCTGGACCAGGGGGTTCTCAGGCTGGACCAGGGGGTTCTCAAGCTGGACCAGGGGGTTCTCAGGCTGGACCAGGGGGTTCTCAGGCTGGACCAGGGGGTTCTCAAGCTGGACCAGGGGGTTCTCAGGCTGGACCAGGGGGTTCTCAGGCTGGACCAGGGGGTTCTCAAGCTGGACCAGGGGGTTCTCAAGCTGGACCAGGGGGTTCTCAGGCTGGACCAGGGGGTTCTCAGGCTGGACCAGGGGGTTCTCAAGCTGGACCAGGGGGTTCTCAAGCTGGACCAGGGGGTTCTCAGGCTGGACCAGGGGGTTCTCAAGTTGGACCAGGGGGTTCTCAGGCTGGACCAGGGGGTTCTCAAGTTGGACCAGGGGGTTCTCAAGTTGGACCAGGGGGTTTTCAAGCTGGACCAGGGGGTTCTCAAGCTGGACCAAGGGGTTCTCAGGCTGGACCAGGGGGTTCTCAAGCTGGACCAGGGGGTTTTCAGGCTGGACCAGGGGGTTCTCAAGCTGGACCAGGGGGTTCTCAGGCTGGACCAGGGGGTTCTCAGCCTGGACCAGGGGGTTCTCAAGTTGGACCAGGGGGTTCTCAAGTTGGACCAGGGGGTTCTCAATCTGCACCAGGGGTTCTCAAGCTGGACCAGGGGGTTCTCAGGCTGGACCAGGGGGTTAAGTTGAACTAGGGGGTTCTCAAGCTTGACCAGGGGGTTCTCAAGCTGGACCAGGGGGTTCTCAGACTGGACCAGGGGGTTCTCAAGCTGGACCAGGGGGTTCTCAGGCTGGACCAGGGGGTTCTCAAGTTGGACCAGGGGGTTCTCAAGCTGGACCAGGGGGTTCTCAGGCTGGACCAGGGGGTTCTCAAGTTGGACCAGGGGGTTCTCAGGCTGGACTAGGGGGTTCTCAAGCTGGACCAGGGGGTTCTCAGGCTGGACCAGGGGGTTCTCAAGTTGGACCAGGGGGTTCTCAAGTTGGACCAGGGGGTTCTCAAGTTGGACCAGGGGGTTCTCAAGTTGGACCAGGGGGTTCTCAAGCTGGACCAGGGGGTTCTCAAGTTGGACCAGGGGGTTCTCAGGCTGGACTAGGGGGTTCTCAAGCTTGACCAGGGGGTTCTCAAGCTGGACCAGGGGGTTCTCAAGCTGGACTAGGGAGTTCTCAGGCTGGACTAGGGGGTTCTCAGGCTGGACCAGGGGGTTCTCAAGTTGGACCAGGGGGGTTTTCAAGTTGAACCAGGGGGTTCTCAGGCTGGACCAGGGGGTTCTCAAGTTGGACCAGGGGGTTCTCAAGCTGGACCAGGGGGTTCTCAGGCTGGACCAGGGGGTTCTCAGGCTGGACCAGGGGGTTCTCAGGCTGGACCAGGGGGTTCTCAAGCTGGACCAGGGGGTTCTCAAGCTGGACCAAGGGGTTCTCAGGCTGGACCAGGGGGTTCTCAAGCTGGACCAGGGGGTTTTCAGGCTGGACCAGGGGGTTCTCAAGCTGGACCAGGGGGTTCTCAGGCTGGACCAGGGGGTTCTCAGCCTGGACCAGGGGGTTCTCAAGTTGGACCAGGGGGTTCTCAAGTTGGACCAGGGGGTTCTCAATCTGCACCAGGGGTTCTCAAGCTGGACCAGGGGGTTAAGTTGAACTAGGGGGTTCTCAAGCTTGACCAGGGGGTTCTCAAGCTGGACCAGGGGGTTCTCAGACTGGACCAGGGGGTTCTCAAGCTGGACCAGGGGGTTCTCAGGCTGGACCAGGGGGTTCTCAAGTTGGACCAGGGGGTTCTCAAGCTGGACCAGGGGGTTCTCAGGCTGGACCAGGGGGTTCTCAAGTTGGACCAGGGGGTTCTCAGCTGGACTAGGGGGTTCTCAAGCTGGACCAGGGGGTTCTCAGGCTGGACCAGGGGGTTCTCAAGTTGGACCAGGGGGTTCTCAAGTTGGACCAGGGGGTTCTCACAGTTGGACCAGGGGGTTCTCAAGTTGGACCAGGGGGTTCTCAAGCTGGACCAGGGGGTTCTCAAGTTGGACCAGGGGGTTCTCAGGCTGGACTAGGGGGTTCTCAAGCTTGACCAGGGGGTTCTCAAGCTGGACCAGGGGGTTCTCAAGCTGGACTAGGGAGTTCTCAGGCTGGACTAGGGGGTTCTCAGGCTGGACCAGGGGGTTCTCAAGTTGGACCAGGGGGGTTTTCAAGTGGAACCAGGGGGTTCTCAGGCTGGACCAGGGGTTCTCAAGTTGGACCAGGGGGTTCTCAAGCTGGACCAGGGGGTTCTCAGGCTGGACCAGGGGGTTCTCAGGCTGGACCAGGGGGTTCTCAAGCTGGACCAGGGGTTCTCAAGTTGAACCAGGGGGTTCTCAGGCTGGACCAGGGGGTTCTCAAGTTGAACCAGGGGGTTCTCAGGCTGGACCAGGGGGTTCTCAGGCTGGACCAGGGGGTTCTCAAGCTGGACCAGGGGGTTTCTCAGCTGGACCAGGGGGTTCTCAGGCTGGACCAGGGGGTTCTCAAGTTGGACCAGGGGGTTCTCAGGCTGGACCAGGGGGTTCTCAAGCTGGACCAGGGGGTTCTCAGGCTGGACCAGGGGTTCTCAAGCTGGACCAGGGGGTTCTCAAGCTGGACCAGGGGTTCTCAAGCTGGACCAGGGGGTTCTCAGGCTGGACTAGGCAGTTCTCAAGTTGGACCAGGGGGTTCTCAAGCTGGACCAGGGGGTTCTCAGGCTGGACCAGGGGGTTCTCAGGCTGGACCAGGGGGTTCTCAAGCTGGACCAGGGGTTCTCAAACTTGACCAGGGGGTTCTCAAGCTGGACCAGGGGGTTCTCAAGCTGGACCAGGGGGTTCTCAGGCTGGACCAGGGGGTTCTCAGGCTGGACAGGGGGTTCTCACAAACTTGACCAGGGGGTTCTCAAGCTGGACCAGGGGGTTCTCAAGCTGGACCAGGGGGTTCTCAGGCTGGACCAGGGGGTTCTCAGGCTGGACCAGGGGGTTCTCAAACTTGCCAGGGGGTTCTCCCAAACTGGACCAGGGGGTTCTCAAGCTGGACCAGGGGGTTCTCAGCGGACCAGGGGGTTCTCAGGCTGGACCAGGGGGTTCTCAGGCTGGACCAGGGGGTTCTCAGGCTGGACCAGGGGGTTCTCAGGCTGGACCAGGGGGTTCTCAGGCTGGACCAGGGGGTTCTTAAGCTAGACCAGGAGGTTCTCAACCTTTTCCAGGTTATTCTCCATTTTTACCAAAAAATCTGTAATAATTTCCTCTTGAACTGCACTCTTAATCTGGTGCTTTTATTTATTTACTCAAGATTACATTAAAACAAAGTTTGATAATAATTTTATTAGTTACATTCCTCGTACAAAGAATACTATATGAGAAAAATATGACTTAGAAAGTGACATAATTCAGAGATAATGAAAGCACTTGACAGTTCCGCTTCATACACAGTACTACCACTGCAACACTGTCACGAACTGTGTCAATACTGCCACTGCAACACTGTCACGAAATGTGTCAATACTGCCACTTCAACACTGTCACGAACTGTGTCAGTACTGCCACTGCAACACTGTCACGAACTGTGTCAATACTGCCACTGCAACACTGTCACGAACTGTGTTAATACTGCCACTGCAACACTGTCACGAACTGTGTCAATACTGCCACTGCAACACTGTCACGAACTGTGTTAATACTGCCACTGCAACACTGTCACGAACTGTGTTAATACTGCCACTGCAACACTGTCACGAACTGTGTCAATACTGCCACTGCAACACTGTCACGAACTGTGTCAATACTGCCACTGCAACACTGTCACGAACTGTGTCAATACTGCCACTGCAACACTGCCACAAACTGTGTCAATACCATTTCTGTGTGATTCGACTCAGTGTTCGCTGCTCCTGTTGTCTTGCTACTGACTGATATTTGTGGGGCTGTTGCTGACAGAGCACACCTTGGATCACACACAACCGGCAGCTTGTTTCCAGTTTTTGACTTTACTGACAGAAGGAAAGAAAGGGTCAACTCACAATGATAGATATGCTGGTTAAGTTGAAGAAAATGGGATCAGCACACGACGAGCGTTTCTGCCAAGTCCAGAATAAATGGGGGTATATTTTTACCTAGAACTCACTGAGTCAAGAAGTTGAATTCATCTTTCGCTGAGTTGTGTTTGAGTTCCAGAAATTCTTCCTGGAGCTCTGTAGCGACGTCATCTACATGTCATTTGAATAGATCTCTTGTCAGAGCCATGGTAATTTGATTGGTATGTATGTCTGAGAAGTACCGCTGGAACTCACTAATGAAGGAGCTAAGGTGCTCTGTGATCTCTGCCTCGAGCACCTGGCTAATGGAATCTACTCTAATTACTTCAGAAAGTCGATGGAATTGGGCTGCATTTCCGTCTTGACTGCGTCTCTCCCCAGAGTTACAGTTTTGCAACGAATGCATTGATATTATTAGCATGGTGGATTCAGCTGCTCTGACGAAACTACAGCTCATTTAGAGCTTCGAAGATGCCCGCCAAGTATGCCAAATGAGCCTGATATTCTGGCATGTTCATCATGGTGAATATCTCGTCTTCAGAGTGATCGGCTATGAAAGCCTTCATTTCTTCACTAAGCTCATAAAACAGAGTGATCATTGCGGCCTTTGAGAGTCAGCGGTCTTGTGTATGGAACAACGGAGCTGCTTGTTTAGCATACATGTTTCCAGAGATCTCTGAAAAGGCGGTCGATCAGGGCTGACTCTGTAATGACCGCTTTGATGATGCTCTGTAAGCAAGCAAGCAAGAAAGCAGGGCTGCTGGTAATGTCTTGGAAGCAAGAGAATTTCTGTGAACCATTCAGTGTATCCTAACCACTGTCGGATTATCCGGTCTGACGAGTGCCCAGAATCCAGATCCAGACCGCAACAGATTCCTGGGGCACTGTCTGTAAACACTCGGATTACATCTCTCCGTAGTAGTCCTTTATTATAGAAAGTTGAAATTACTTCTGTAATATGTTCTTCGTTGTCGTGGTCATTGGACGACAAACCAGGAAGTCATCTTTGATGTCTTGCATCAACACATCGAACAAAAGCGAGTAGCTGAGAAAGATTTGCCACGTCAGTTATCTGATTGAATGATAAAATATTTTGAAAATGTTATCTTGGCAGTCACTTTATCTTTATGTCGTGAGCCAAATCATTCATCCGTGACTTGACAGTGTTATTAGACAGTAGGATTTACTACAGTTTTAGCAGGCGAGATTGATGAGCTGGAAAACGTGCAGAGATCTTTCGCTGCTCGCATATACTCATTCAAGCATAGCATCTGAACTACTGGGAACGCTTTATTCCTTGGAACGTAGGCGAGAAAGGTGCATAATATACACCTGGAATATCTTGGAGGGACCGGTCCCTCCAGTAGAGCTAGATGAATGTCAGAGGTCCCCAGTTTTTTTTAGACCCTTTTTCATGCATAAGGAGAATTACCAACACACCTCTGGTGGTCTTCAAGAGGAAATTGGGCAAGTTCCTCAACTCAGTGCCTGACCAGCTTGGCTGTGGTTCGTACGATGGACTACGTGTGGCCAGCAGTAACAACCTAGTTTACCAGGCGTTGATCCTCCAGGAGGCCGAGTCTGGGATCGGGCCGCGGGGGCATTGACCCCCTGAAACGTCCTTCAGGTTTTCCTCAAACGAGGCTGTAGGGCGAGCATGAGCGGTTGTCTCTGTTGGTCATGGTTTGAGAATTCATTTTGGGGATGACTGTCATTATTAGTTGCAATTTCGGATTCAGATTCGGACCGAATCTTACTGATTCCGATTCCGAACCCGGAATCGGGCTGTCCTTGAGTCGTTTCATAGAATATCTGCATTTTTCTTGCATGTAAATATATAATAGGAAAACTCTTTGCAGTAAGAAAGCTCCATTTTTTTTTTAAATCCAGTCGTCCTGGACAACCATTAAATTCATTTGTCTCCGCAGATGGCGGTGGGCGGCAGTATGGGCGTGGCCAATCCTCAGTTCCCGCCTCAGAATCTCTACATCCCGCCCATCTCCCAGCACAACCACATGGGACCTGCTCAGTAAGTTGACACTTTTCTCTGTGTACTTAGTTGTATTGCTCAGTAAGTTGACACCTTTCTGTGTACGTAGTTGTATGCCATAAACCAACCAAACCGTCCTCCTAACAAAACGCTGATCTTGTGTAATTCATCACACCGAGTAAGCAGCGTTGTCACTAACACCAGAACGTTAGTTTTCCTAACGTAGGGAAGGTTCCATCGTTACTTCGAGAGAACAAACTCGCCCAATGTGCATCTTTTGCATGTACTTATGTTAGGTTCTATTGGAATTGGTTAGTTTTCGTCAGGTTATGTTAACCCAACGTACATAAAGATTTCAGCCTAAATCCATTCAATAAAAATCCAAGGATTTCTCTTGGGACAGATTGATCTAGTGTGTACTATATTAGATTGGCTTACCCTAGGTTGGGAAAATACCTTTGTACGCTTGGTCTAGGAAGACGGCCTTTTTTTTTCTATGCTAGGCTAGCAATAGCGCCATTTCTATGCAAAGCGAACAAGAAGTTGAACCCATGTATTAAAAACCTTTCCTACAAAGATAGGCAGATAACATTGACCTTGTTCTCTTCGGAACGGCGTAGAATTAAGTGGAATAAGATTGAAGTGTACAAATGATAAAGAGCATGTTGAAAATATCCCATCTTAGTCTCGCATCAATGGATTCATGTTGGAGAAATTTAGATTGTGAAAGGATATTGGGTAATAATGGTTTGGTAAATGAGTAGAACAAACTCTCTAGTGTCATTAAGGCAAGAACTTTGTATTATATAGTTGTAAATATACTGAAGGATGGACAGGTACATGAGTGAGAGTGGGTGTGTATCACACCACCTGGGCCAGTAGGCCTGCTGCAGTATTAATTCGTTCTTATGTTTTCAGAAACACACACACACACACATAGAGTAGTCAGGCCATGGAATAGCCTAGAAAGGGATGTAGTGGAGGCAGGAACCATACATAGTTTTAAGGCGAGGTATGATAGAGCTCATGGGGCAGGGAGAGAGAGGACCTAGTAGCAATCAGCGAAGAGGCGGGGCCAGGAGCTGTGACTCGACCCCTGCAACCACAAATAGGTGAGTACAAATAGGTGAGTACACACACACACACACACACACACACACACACACACACACACACACACACACACACACACACACACACACACACACACACACACATGCAAGTGAGTTTTCACAAGGGAGAAGCTCTTAGGGCAGCTGGTAAACCGCTAAGCTCAAGTCCCAGTGGCAGTTTTTTTTTTTTCAAATCCGTGGCACAAAAGGTCAAGTTGCTTCTTACTTGTAACTTGGATTGCCTGAGCCCAAGTGCATGGAAAATCAAGGTCAGGTTTCTATTAGCAGGCATCCTCTCCCGGACAAGGGGCAACATGTTACTCAACTCAACTCACTGTGATGAACTCATCAGACAAAATCATTTCATTTCTTCTGAACTTAGTTTTTTTTTTTTCAACAAACCGGCCGTATCCCACCAAGGCAGGGTGGCCCAAAAAGAAAAACAGAAGTTTCTCTTTTTAAATTTAGTAATTTATACAGGAGAAGGGGTTACTAGCCCCTTGCTCCTGGCATTTTAGTCGCCTCTTAAACACGCATGGCTTACGGAGGAAGAATTCTGCTCCACTTCCCCACGGAGATAGGAAATAAACGAGAACAAGAACTAGCAAGAAAATAGAAGAAAACCCAGAGGGGTGTGTGTATATATGCCTGTACATGTATGTGTAGTGTGACCTAAATGTAAGTAGAAGTAGCAAGACGGACCTGAAATCTTGCATGTTTATGAGACAGAAAAAAAAGACACCAGCAATCCTACCATCATGTAAAACAATTACAGGATTTCGTTTTACACTCGCTTGACAGGACGATAGTACCTCCTTGGGCGGTTGCTGTCTACCAACCTACTACCTACATGAACTTAAAATATAAACCTTGAAAACGTTGACGCACACCCCCACACAGACATCCGTCGACAGCAACCCGTTAGTGTACATTGACGAACTGCCCCTCGCGCTCGAAATTATATAAACATTAATATTCTTCATCCAAAGTTAGGTTTGGTTTGTTAGGGTTAACCAGTGATAAATATTAGTTACGTATATTTGCCATTCTTTTTAACTGAGACAATTTTCACAAACGTAACATGATTGTAACAAACACGTCACTATCAGTCATAAAGCTCACATCGAGGCTTGATAAAGCTTATAACAAAACTTGAAGCTTATAACGAGGCTTGATAATGCTTATAAAGAGGCTTGATGAAGTTCATAACGAAGTTTCATAAAGCATAATTATAACGAGACATGAAACTTATAAAGAGGCTGGGTAAAGCAACAGTATGTCTGTATTACCCATAACCACTGTAGTGTTGGTTCACGATGCTACAGGTCATCAGTGTAATTTAGAACTCTCTCCAGAACACGCACAGGCTAAAGCGTTGTCAAATAAGCTTTGGGATTAAGCTGACCGAAAGCTAACAGTTCACCGCTAAATTGCTTATCGATTATGATTTCATTACTGGATTTTTTTTTACACCCTGACATATGGAATTCAATGGCACTTTTCAGTGTGTTATTTTTATGTATATAGAAATGATTGCGAAAAAACTATCATATATGGAGGTAAACGGCATTAGAAAATATCAAATAAAACTGTATCTGAAATTATTTGTCTATTTTTATTACTTTCAAAAAATAGGCTCGATGTTTTTAAATATTCTAATTGCGTCCCAATTAACTTCGAATGTCAAATTGCTAGGCACTGCAAGTGAAAGCAATATACTTGGTGAATTTTAGGGGTAATGAGTTGGTGGCTGTGATTTTTGTGGAGTGTGTAATTGAAGGGTAGCTTCCAATAGCGGGCAATTCTTGTGTGAAGGCCACTTCTGTGTAGCGGCCACCTCTCTAGCCGCGTGCGTCCCTGGCTGATGTTGAACACGTTACATCCATCCATTAATGATCTATTGTGAGGTCAGTAGGATTTAAAGCCAATTAAGCAGCCAAAGTTCTCTTGCAGTGAAACTACCACAGCTGACACTTGTTCATGTGTAGTATATTATGTTTTTATTTTAATGTGTGACCCTTCTTTCCCAAGGTCGGCAAGGTATACGGTTAATGTGTCACGTCTCTTCCGTAGGTCGGCAGGATATATGGTCCATCCTGGTTGTGGTCCACCGACTCCTGTATACACAAGTGCCAGTCCAGTGATGCACGGGGCAGGGCCACCTCAGGGACCACACATGATGGGTGGCATGATGGGCGTGGGTTATTACCCACGCCCACCCATGGCTCGGAACGGTGCCTCTCCAAACTCAGGAGGATCTCCTTCCCCTGGCAGCGAGGATTCTGATGACTCCACGCCCTTGGCGCAGGTGAGTACTGGCACCCTAGTACGTGTGGCACTGTTGAGTGACAGTGGGTGTGGTATACAAATCCAGTTTGCTACCACAAGGGATACTCAACCAAGGCGTTCCTACATGCGTCACATCCGTTTTTTTTAATTTACTTATTTTTGGTTAAATATAATTTGTATTCGTTGATGTAGCCTACTACACCCTACCCGTCTCTTCAATTCCCTTCCTACACTACCCTGCCCTACCCTACCTAACGCAACCCAACCTCTACGCCGTCCTATTCTAGTTTAGTTTACTCTAGCTTAAAGTAAGAAAATAATTCTAAAAAAAAAACTCAGGGAAGGTTCAGAAAATGACGTTGGGAATCTCTTTTGTGCATTAAGTAAAATTCTTGTATGTATTTCTTTCAGAATTTTTGATAGCGTTGGTTATTATATTTATTAAGCGTGAAGGCAACAGTAGGAAGAATTCTCAGTAACGTGACTCCAGCAGCTATGTCTGCCATCTTGCCGGTCATATACTATTTTTTTTTAAACAGTAGTCATTAAATATGATAAAGCTATAAAATAAAAAGTTATAGAAGTTTTATTCTATACAAATGTCATTTTTAATACAACAGTAACTAAGCCTAATAATGTCCATATATGAAACTACAGATAGTTTGTCTCTGATTATCCTCATTACTTGTTCTAATTTCTCTAATTAGTGAAATTAGGATTAAAATTAAGTTTTTGTGGAATCCCTCTCACATAGACCACCTAGAATATAGTCTAGCCAGTGACTTAACTAGCAATCAGCAGAGAATGTTCAATATAATTTTAGTTTGTTTCCCGAACATTAAATTTAAAAACTATTGCTAGAAAAGAACTAGCAAACGAATTTGTGGAAGTAGAACAGTAAAGATAAGGAACTAGCCGATCCATTGCCCATCATAATAAAATGTGTCAAGTGAAACATATCTATAGTTACAAGATCAGTAGACCACCAGACGTTCTTACTACTAGAGTTAGGCTACGCTGTAAGTATCTATGACAGTACAGTTTATATGGAGATGCCTATCAAATGACATAAATTGTGTAGTTAGATAAGGCATTTACCAGACCCTTATATTTTAGAATGTTCAGACATGAGACAGTGTGTAGACGTTCAAACAGTCAATACAGAAAATAGTAAATCACTCTATTGTACACGATACAATATCTGAAATCTTAAGATTGTATCCACACTGCACCGGCCAGATGATCAGACTTATCAGATAATGTAATCTAATAGATGACCAGTCAGTCAGTATAATACTGTGGCTTAGATGAGTGACTGTAACACTGGAATGAAATTGTGAGTGTTCCGTCTGTTGGGTGGCTCCGTGGTTTTTGCTCAAACTCCAGAAATTTTTATTAAGGGGGGGACCAGATTATCGATACCAGTGTCGGCTAAGTTTGATTATATCAGGATCGGTCCAAAATTAAGTAGCGGTATCAGCAATATATATATATATATTATATATATATATATATATATATATATATATATATATATATATATATATATATATATATATAATATATATATAATATATGATATCGTCCCATCCGTAGTCTTTATAAGAAAAACACGTCTATGTATTATTGCGTTTATTACCGCTATGAGCTGTTATAATTTGTTAATACGACAGTCTGACTTAAATAACTTATATCAAGTAAGTTACTGAAAACAGTATGTAAGAAATCGACTTGGTTATGATAGGTTGATTGTAAACACACATTACAAATACAATTTAATGTATTGGATTTTGCCGCGGAAGCTTCTCGCTAGTTTATTGTGCACCTCGTCTAGTCTGTGGAGGGTAGCACAAGAGCATGTGGATACACAAAAGGCCTAGGAACTAGGCCCCTAAAGGGTTACAGGAGTACATCTGGATTTATGTGCACAGTTCACTTATCAGTTGAAGAAAATTTAGGAAATTTGCTTAATATATCTGGTATCTTATTTTCATTAATACGGTATCTTGGCATATATAGATTATTATCCTATCTAAAAAATTCCACAGTAAATTTACAATAAAGCACATAGTGTTCAAGATAGTGACCAAAGGATTGACCACATACTTTGCATTTGCACGTATTATTATTAATGGTAATAATGCACAGTGTTATGCTTCTTATAAACACTGTATCCTTGCGATTCGTGAGAGGTAAACACAACATGGCTGGCACAATACTTGACCGCCAATATGGCGGACGTTCACCCTGTAACGTCATATGTAACACTGTACGGAGGTGTAATGCGGTATCTTTGAACACTTTGCTATCTGCATACTGGAGATACCAAGCTAATGATCATACTTGTTAAACCATTCTCTCACCACGAGAGACAGATAGATACGTTCAAATCACAGCGGTTCATAGTTTTTTCTTTTTCGACCGTTTTACTGATAGACGTATCGCGGCATTTTTTTTCTTTTGAGTGCGGTTAAATATAGGCTTTTATAGGTTTGACTTACTGAAACTCAGTCTAATCTACTTTAAAATAAAAAAAAAGTTGAAAATTCGCAGCTCGTCTGGAAATTAACTCATGATAAGATTGGTTACTTAAACACACTTGAACTCTCGTGATGGGAATATCCCTGTACACCAACAACTCCATATGTACTCTTTAGAGGACCTGTACTTTCCAGATAGGAAATTATAGCTAAATTTTTAACGTTTGCAATAGCACTGGCGTTGCGGGTGGCAGCGAAGCCTTGATTCTGGAGAGGCTCTGGAGCAGTTTATTAGTTAGAGGTGCAGCCGGAAGGTGGTAAATGGTGTCCCATCCCGTGGTAAGTAGTAGCCCGTCGGATCTTAGGTGTGGTGGCAGGTATTGTGTGTGGTAGGTGTGGCGAGGGATGGTGTGCGTCTTGGCAGGTTCTTGGAAGGAGGAGCAGGAGGAAGTATGGGCGGTGGCTGCGCTGATCAATAGAGATTTACTGCTAACTTTACGAGGTGGCAGCCCTTCTGTGTTCTGTTTTCTCGACAGTTTGGGGGACAGTATATTCCAATGGCGTAGGTGGTGAGGGTGATCCCTGGTGTGCAGGTCTCCCACCACCACTCTTACCCTCCCACCTCTCCCTCTCTTCCTCCACTCCTACCTCCCTCCCACCCCTTCCTCCATCCCTTCATTTCTCTCCCACAATATTTGTCTCGCTCTCTCTGATGATGATCTTCATAAATTCCATTTCCCGCTGTATGTACGATAGGCTATCCTAAGAGATGGTAAATTTTCCAGTAATAGTAACTGGAGCTCCGCAGGAACCTTTGAAGATGTCGTAACTACTGATGTCTCCCAGATCAGCCTGGCAGATTTCATTACCTGATGTACAAAAAAAATCATTCTGTGATGGAATATGACATGAAAAGACAGCTAGTTTTTTGTTCCCACTATGTAAACTATTATAGAATACAGGGTAGCCGCACACTGCTCTTACACCTAATTTTGTTTGCTAGAAAACTTCCCCATTCTTCCCTCTCACCGCTCCCTCTCATCTCTTCATTTCTCATTTTTCTCCTCCACCTCTCCCTCCCTTTCCCTCCCAGAAGTGTGGAGCGTAAGTGTATGAATGAGGTGAGGATGCCATGGTTGTTATAGTAATCATCATTGAGTGCTGTCATGATGATGCTCAGAGAAGACAAGAGTAAACATTACTGGGTCATGAACTCAGCAGAGCTAAACAATGAAACACTGGTCTTTGATGAACGAAATAAGATAAACAGTGAATGCCCCCTGATGAACAAGACAAGGTAGACAATGAGACACTGGTATGATGAACTAGATAATATAACTAGTGAGGCACTGTGATCTGATGAACGAAATAGGGTAAACAGGTTAATATAATAGATAGATACATAATAATCTGTACATGGAAAACTGTGGATAGACTTGTCCCAAAACCTGCACTACGAAATCACTCCTTATGAAAGCAAGAGGCATGACAGCCAGGGCATGATACCTCCACTGTAAAGCAGGGGTATAATGCGTACACCAAGAGAACACTTAATAAGTGTATGGGGACAAAGACTCTTCAAATACATCCCCCCCTTTCCATTGATGCGAAAGGGAAATTACCACCACATACCAGTCTTTGAGTGGAAATTGGATAAGTTTCTCATGATCAGCCGGGTTGTGATATATACTTTGGTCTGCGTGAGTGCTTTAAGAGGAGAAAGAAAATTATCCTGGGTACCTTGGTTTAAACTGTGTCCTCAGAGCCGCTATAAGGGATTTTTTTTTTATATTTTATTGGAAACAGTACAGAACAGTAAAGGTAAAATACAGGACCTATTCGGCAACAGATGTAATAACCTTCCATTGCTCAATAATTCACCCCACACACAACCCCATGTGGGCTCCCAACACCATCCCCTTATCCCCCTCCTATACTAAAGCAAACAGGTTTGCCACAGCAACCTGCATCAATATTACAGACATGATGACATATATACACTAACATTACAGTTGTCGTGCTCGTCCAGCACAGTGTATTACACAACCACAATACTGCTTGAACAGTGTACTAACACCAGTCATGGCTTAGATATATATCAAAACAAACAATACGTCACCACAAACTGAAATACATTCAGCACATATAAATAATTCACTGCAGGTAAGGACACCTATCGTGATAGGTGTCTATAAGGGAAATACCGTGTTTTGTCACACGAGAAATTTATGCATGTGTGATTGAAAGAGTAAATGGGGGGAGGGACAAATGAAGTGACCAGTATTACGAGTGCAACATACCAAGCTAGTCAGATGACAGCAGTTGTGAAGTATTAAAAGATAAGTAGAGATGACGGGAGGAAACACTAGCCTAGCTTAAGTACCTTGAGAGTGTTGTGATGGGTTAACGTCCCCGCGACCCTCCGGTCCCAGATCAGGCCTAGTTGTTGTTGGTGACCTCACGAAGTCTGGCTATGCACCACAACATGGCTGATTAGGAACTGATTTTTGAGGAACTTATCAGGTTGTTTCTTGATCTT